GCAATGAGAAAAAAGGATAAGCACAATCCGAGATGCCAGTATGCAGGCAAGTGAAGCAGAGAAGCCTAGTAGTCAAGATGCCTAAATGGAAGGCTAGCGACGCAATCATCAAGACTAATTCACCATTCTCCATAATGTGATGAATAGCATGGCCGCCTATTCAAGTCGAACAAGATGGCCAGCTAAAGGTGAGCATAGACCATCCAATCGAGGTGGATACCGGCCAACCGGCCAAGGGGTGTTAACGAATAAAGTGAAGAATCACCCAATTTTGGAATGAATGTAAGCCGTCGGCATGGAAAAAGGTGAATATAGAAATGGGGAGGCACACACAAAAGTGTGCTCGATGTGAGCAGATATGGCGAAAAAGTGGCAAACCTGCGCCTTTGATATCCGTCATACTTCCGTTCTGCAACTGTTTATCGCTGCCCGAGAGACTGGACATAGAGCCGACCGGGGACGCGGCCGCTGTGCGACTGTTTGGTCGAGTGCCAGACGCACTCTTGCCGGAGAGGGGAGATGCCGCGAGCGGAGTGTTGGAGCGTTTCGATGAATGGTGCCCACTGGGCGGAGGTGTGTTGTGCCCACTGGAGAAGACTTTGCGTGGCTATAAATCGGGAATGTACCAGAAAAGTGGGAGATGAGTATGCGAAAACTTGCCCTCAGGCCGCAATGCTTAGTTATTTAGCCTGGTTACAAGAAATTGACGTGCAATTGTGAAAATGGAGGTCGCAACAAAATGTTGCACCAAAATAATTGCCGGTCGCATTCTCCTAAACTGGTACACAGACAAGCTTCGAAATGGTCCCCAATTAGATCCGAATATTTCATAATTTTTGGATTCTGGATAAATAAAATGTTCATGAAATTCCCGGGCAGACGAGGCTCAAAATATGATTGAGTTGAAAGGCTATGTCGAGTGTAAATACTAAAGTTTTTGCTAAGAGAGACCGCTCATTTGCGATTTTATGTCACCGTTTTCCTTTGGACTTTCCCCCTGGACCAAAGGGAATAAGGAAAACTCATTAGCACAACACGACCAGCAGGAATGGAGCCCTAGTAGTAAAATAGCCTCATCACAAACGTCGAGCCTTATCGTATCAACGCGAAATGGTTGTCCAGAAGGACAAACACCAGCCCATAAGGAAAGAAAATACCACTGGGTCAGACATGCCTGACGAAACGCAGATAAGGTTACATGAGCAGACCAAATGCGATATAGAAACAAACGTTTGCAGAAAGGAAAGCTGAGATAATACCGAAAGATAAAATAATTGGCAATTCGTTATACAAGAAAAGTGCGTGCATTTCAGTGGACATAATTACATACAAGAATGCGCACATCGTTGAACAGAACATCTTAATCTTCAAACAAACGAGAAAACATGCCACTTGACTTATCTCAGATCCCAAACAGGTTGTGCTTATCCAAAAGGGCATTTGTGTGTGTGTGGGTGTAAAGAATGTGAACAACAGCTAGTAGACGAATTTAAAATCGTTGGAAAGCCGGTCTAAGAACATCACATTCCGGTTGCTAGGAGGGATTAGAAAATAACCGTCAAGAGGCCTGCGTTATTTATGCTTTGTCGTGCCCCATCGAGAAGACAGTTGTCAGAAAGATGAGTACAATTTCTGGCAAGTAAGACAAACTGAAATATTGGGCAATGAACAAATTCATTGGGTCGCGGATATACTTTCAACTTGCGAAACTAGTTTAGCGTTAGTAGGACAGAGGCTAAGATGCCTCGCCTCGAGCCATCAGATGTGAGTGATTGGTTTTAATTAAAAATGAATAATAATAGGTGAACGATGAAGTATGTCCTCAGCATAAGCGCATGCGAATTAGGCAAAAATGAAGCCAACCTACTTGACTAGCCTCGTCAACGTCTGGCTCACTCTTGACGTCATCGCAAGACTGCAAAAAGAAATGAAAAAAAAGGAGAAAAATGTGATATTTTCATTCATTTCGAGTAAACAATACAGAAAAAATGTTAAGATTCTTAGGACCTAACATCATTACTGCAAATAGAGCATGAAAAATCGTGTTTGAAAAAGTGCCTGTTCCATTCAATAGCACGGCGACTATAAGACCAAGCGAACCTCAATAATTGAAATCGTGATAAGAACTTTGAAAGCAATGCAAAAAAAAGAAGGAAAATACCGTTTTGGCGAATTTGTTCATCGGTTTAGCGGGGCAGAAAATCAAAACAAAACGCTAGACGTGCATAGGAGAATGCAAGCGAACCCAAGGCAGACACCAGCTTGGAATTAACGTTCACAAAAAGCATAAAGAAAGGTGAGTTTCGAAGAATGCCTTGGTGATATAGTGTGACATGAGATTCACTTCTCGAGGAAAGAAAGGTTGAAAAGAATTCGTAAAATG